AATGTTTATTGTAGTCTCAATGACATTTTCATTCTGAAATTTGGACTATCATTTTCACTTTATTCTTTTACTTTTCATACTGATTTCAGTATTTCTAAATTTTGAAAGTTTCACAGTTGAGGCATGCATTAATGTGCTTCAGCTTGAGTGTGAACTATAATGTAGACTTCAGGAATTCCTAAGAGGAAGCATTTTTCTTTAACAGCATGTTCTGTAATGTTTCCTTGTTGTTTGGAGCGACATGAGTATGATTTTCATCCTACTCAGTTGCAGTCAAGTGGTAACCTCATTTATGTCATTCTCTCCAAAGAACTCTTAAAGGATAAACTGTTCTTGCTAAGTTTGGTCTTTTGTTTAACTCAGTGTATGGTATCAGCTGAAAATATAGCTGTTGAATCAGTCTAGCCAAGCACCTGTCAGCAGAAAATAGCATCTTGCCCTGAAACACTTGGGAATTCTGGATTAGTGCAGCCAACTCTGCATTCCAGTAAAGTGCAAATGTTTGAGATGTCTTCTGACACAATACTTTTCTTTCTTTTTACTGACAGGCTGTGCTGGAGACTATTCGGAACCTGATGAATACCGATTGTGTGGTACCTGACTGGCTGCATGATATTATTTTAGGTTATGGAGACCCAAGCAGTGCCCATTATTCAAAAATGCCCAATCAGATTGCCACCCTTGATTTCAATGATACATTTCTCTCCATTGAGCATTTAAAGGCCAGCTTTCCTGGTCATAATGTTAAAGTAACTGTGGATGACCCAGCTCTACAGATACCCCCTTTCAGGTAAAGTCAAAAGTTGATGAATTCCTTTTGGACTTTCTGTAGTCTGCCTGTAGGAGGCTATTAGCATTGTTAACTAAAATGACTTTGAGTATTATGTCTGGATTTTGTTTTGGCAGTGCCTGTCTTCACCATGTAATCACTAGGATAACTTTATTATATCTGAATCTATTTCTAACTTTTATTTTAAGATGATACTAAAAGTAACTTAATGTCTTATAAGGGACTGGCAAGTGAGTATTATCTGAAGAGTGCTGTATAAATATAGTATTTGACTGAAGGAATGTTTCTTTGCATCTGTCTCATTATAGTGTGATATATTTCCAAATTAATACAACCATGTCTTGTTGCACTTTATTATGATGTGAAGAAATTTTTTTCTTTTAACTTTGTGTATGTTTACAGATTTTAAATACAGGTTTAGTGATCTTTATTTAAAATGCTTGGGATCAGAAGCGTTAGAGCTTTTAAAATTTTAAAATATTTGCTTAGACTTTGTGCATTCAGAGTTGAGCGTTCCTTATTCACAAGTCCAAAGTATTCTAAAATCCAGAACTTTTTAAGTGTCACCTCAGTGTTCAGAAAATTTCAGATGTGGGGGCATTTGGATATTAAGATTAGGGATAGTTAACCTCTGTTGAAAATGTGGGTTATTCAACTAATGTTGAATAAACTTTGGTTTGAAACATTGAGTACAAGTAGAATGAAGTACCTGAAGTAATTCGTTGCTGTTCCCTGAATTCCTTCATAATGATTGGAGCCAAAGCACGCAGGTTCCTCTGATACCCTAGTGCTTACATTCTTGCTGGAAATCAGAACACACATTTTCCACTGATAGTTAAATGTAATAATTGGACATATCACAACTATATCCTTTATAACATGTAAACCTAGTGTCTTCTATATTTTCTAATTTTGTTAACTGGCAGAATCATATTTCTGGTGCCCTGCATTGAAACCCCAACATCATTTTTGAATCTGCTTACTCATAACTCCTGGCATTTAGTGTGCAGTTTTCTCGCATCGTTCTCGATGACCGCATCTATGGGCACCCACATCTGTTATGGCAGTGGTATTTTTCCTGCTGTCTCTCTTCACACAGTGTTATGTAAGTGTCCCGTTGCTGTGGCCGGCCACTGCCAGCTGAGCAGGGTTGATTATTCTCACTGTTTACCAAGGAAGCCTGACTTTTAAGTATCTTCAGTTTTTTGAGTATGTAGGAGAACATTTAAAGGTATAAGGGGCCAGGGAGATAGATCAGTAGAGTAAGTGCTTCCCTGGCAAGCGCAAGGCTGAGTTCAATCCCTGGTTCCACCAAAAAAACAAACAAAAGTATATAGAGAAGATTAATGTTTTTAGTTCAGTTTTAAGAAATACATTGATTTTCCTCAGGTGTCAATGGAGTTACCTTTGAACTCTAGGCGAGAAACCTCTTCCTTGAAAGTTTGGTGTCCCTGAGGTGCTGTAGCAAGGCCCAGCCTGTCTCTCTGTCCTTCTCTGTCATGCCTCATACTCCAGCAAAATGAGTCTGCTCTCACTTTCTCCCAGGGATGTGGTCCTTTCCAGCCTCGGAATGTCTAAATTCTCGGCCACTCTCCTGTAAAGTCTCATGAGGAAATGAAAGTGATGAGTGAGGTACTTTTCAATGCATGTGGTGCAGGTATTTAACGTTGATGCTCCCATTAATTGGACGAGTTTAGGACCCACTTTTAATCTCTTTTTTTCTGTCAGAGTTCATATACGGATAGTGAGCTGCCTTCACTCGAAATGGTTTTCATCTGATCGTTTCCCATATATCATCATATATAAGATGCTCTCTTTGTAAATCCCTCCTAGTAAACTAAAAGAATGGTTTTGTTCTTGTAGGATTACCTTTCCAGTAAGAAGCGGAAAGGGAACGAAAAGGAAAGATGCAGATAGTGCTGATGAGGACCCTGAAGAGGCGAAGACTTTAATTGTGGAACCTCATGTTATTCCTAACAGGGGTCCTTACCCTTATAGCCAACCCAAACGGTAATTTGACTGCTTCTTCTAGTTATAAATTCACTACTTTAAATTGGCTAGTGAGGTTTTTTTTTTTTTTTTTTTTTCTTTAATCATTACAGAACCTTAGGATACTTTTTATTTCTGAATCTCTGTCCTTCTTTTGACTGAATAACTCAGACCATTTTAGACTATTCTGTACCTGTGATATTTCAGAAGGAAACATTATAGGTACAAGGAGAAAGTGTTTACAAGTATATGAGAACTAGAACTTTTGAAGGACAAGAGAGGTCTCGAATGGGCTAGATCTATTAAAAAGTAGGTGGTCCTTCCATGAGATTTATTCTGTTCAGTTGTCTATATGGGTGAATGTGGAAAAAATAAAATGATGCCCTCAAGAGATGAGAGAATAAGGGCAAGTGCAGATGCTTATACTTCCCATTACTTTTGTCTAGATTTGTACTAAATGTTATTTGTCTATATTTCTGATCAACTTTTTATTCTTTCATTTGCAGTAATACAATTCAGTTCACTCATACACAGATAGAAGCCATCCGTGCTGGGATGCAGCCTGGGCTAACTATGGTAAGAGAATCAGTTACTGGTGTTACATGGATTAAAACTAGAAGTATGCACAAGATTTTAAATATATTTGAATCATAAAAACTACTAAATGTAGGTATTTAAAACTATGGTATTTGTGGCATCTTACACATATGGAGATCTTGCTGCTCATTTCAGTATTCATAAGTAAAGTTTATTAGAACATGACTTGCCTTGTGTTAGTATTGCCTGTGGTCACTGTGTTGTTGAGCCCATCCAGTGTGTTTTGTTGTTACTTTGTATTTCTGTTCTAGAGTTTCCATTTTCCAGTAATGTGATAACTTAGTATTGGATATGTGTATATAATTTTTTTAGGTTGTGGGCCCACCTGGTACAGGAAAAACAGATGTGGCAGTCCAAATCATATCCAACATCTACCACAATTTCCCGGAACAGAGGACTCTTATTGTTACTCATTCCAATCAGGTGAATGACTATGCAGGGCAGGGGGTGTACATGCCAGAGCTTTTGCTCTGGGGCTCAACTAACCGATGCTTGCCAGTAGTGTTTTTCTTCATTTTGTGGAATAAAAGGCTAAGATCTATTGATACTGAATTGAATTTAAAATCCCTGTGAAGTGTATGTGTGAATACAGTTACCAGTGTTATGTTGAAACATGTGATGTGCTAGTCCTGGAGCTGTCAGAAGTAAGCAAAAGCAAGTAATACTTGTTAGCTTTGTAAATTATTTTGTAAAATACTTTGACAGGCAGCCCTTGGAGCATCCTGTAAAACACTGAAACTTACACGGCCTTTGAAACCTCCAAGTGTGCTTATTTTCTCAGATCTGTATTAATGATGACCTCACTTGGCCTATCTTTGGTTGATTTAGTCTACAAAGAAATACAGAGTTTGGGAAATGTCAATTAGTTTGTTGTTGGTTACAGTATAAAATTACAGCATTTATCTTACATGATGCTGCCTGGTTCATTTACCCAAAATGTTTTTGTATCTTGGAAAATTTTAAGTAATGGTGATTTTGTACAATCAGGAGGTTGGCTTGGACTTCAGTTTTATTTTTTTTTGGTTGTTTTTTTTTTTTTTTTTTGCGGAACCGGGG